TACGTTACGTTACTTACGTTACTACTACTACGTAACGTAACGTAGTAAGTAATAACTAACTACTTACTTACTTACTTTACTTACTTATACTACTCTCTCTCTCTCTCTCTCTCTCTCTCTCTCTCTCTCTCTCTCTCTCTCTCTCTCTCTAGTATTATGTGTTCCTTTGTTTAATACCATGGAGTTCAACAAATTTTATGTAGAGATGTGGGCGCCTAGATGATCAGATTGAGTTGCTTAAATACAAGCTGAAGATGATAAAGGATGGGGTGGCCTTCAGTGGGAAGAAGACCAAGATAGCCAGGTCTCAGGGAAAGAAGTTTCATGTTTCTATAGAGCAAGAGGAGGCCAGGCTCCTCGGCAATTTAGGTTGGGCATATATGCAACAAGGAAAATTCGCAGAAGCCGAGTCAGAGTACAGGTATTTTAATGATTCCCAAATTACAATTTGATTTGTCACACTATATATGACCATTTACCTCAGGTTCAAAAAGGTCACAATTTTCCCTAGACGTTTGTGTGAAATCCGGCAGCTGGGGTATGTCATTTCTCCATAAAGACTCTGACGAAAGTATTTTATCAAAATTTGAGCGCAACAAATCTCACATGTGGTCAATGTCACGTCCCTGCTTGCCTGATTTCACATCTGATGATTACGGGTGAACCCTTTTGTACCAAAGGTAAACTACCTTAATTGTGTACTTTCTGTTTTGATTCTCGTAATTTTCCTTGCATTATTATTTTCTTCATATTTTGTCATCATAAGTAAACAAATATCTAATTATTAGGCTGCAATTAAGTGTCATTATCTTACTAACTTGTGGGCGATTGTTGCTATAAACAACATATTATAAGACTAATTGTTTCTAAAAGATTTTTCAAGTTCTAGCAAATAGATTAGATGGCACAATCTTGTTTCTTTATAAGAAAAATATCAGTTTTTTTAAAAAAATTTGTTATACATATGAAGATTTGAGTTCCTGTAAAACTCTAGAATTAATAACATTAACTATTTCCAAAATAATTGTTCAAATTCTAGTAAATAATGAAAGTTGCATTCTTCATTGTTTTCGTACTGCTCTAAAAAATTGCTCAAAAGGCACTGGCAAATTTTTGTTTTTCTACCGTGTGCATCAATAGATCTCAATTCACGGTCATGCATTTGGTCATTATTAGTAAGTTTTATTTATTTTTCTCAAAAACCTTTAATAGAGCTGAATGGTAGACTAGGATACACAAACTAGGATTTGTGTAGCCAACCCCAATTAATTGAAAAAAGGTTATAATAATGATTTTTTTTTTCCTCAAATGTTGTGTTGAAAAACTCAAGTAAATAGTAGTCATCTCTACATATGCAGGAAAGCTTTAGCTATCGAACCAGATGACAACAAGAAATGCAACTTGGCTATTTGCTTGATGCAAAAGGAAAGAATTGCAGAGGCCAAGACTCTGCTTACCACTGTAAAACCTACATCCATGCACAGCCCAGGTAGTGAATCTCACTTGAAATCCTATGAGCGAGCTTGTGAAATGATAGCTGAGATTGAATCTCAATCGTCCAATCCCAAATCAAAAGGAGGAAAGGCCATGAAAGAAGCAGTACACAGTTTATCGGCTTTCTTAAATGGAAATTGGATTAATCCAACTTTCCACACGAATGGGAATGTTCTCAAACCTCACACTCAAGATCGTATGGGCTTGCCAGTCACAGCAACAAGAGAAAGCTTCAAAATAGGCCCTCAATGCATTAAAGGCTTAGATAATGAATACGGGTTCTTGGATCCAAGCAAATTGGTGGGAGTGGTTGAGGAAGAATCATTTGGTGATGAGAATTTGAATTCAAATGTAGCAAAGTTCACACTGCCCCGCCCTCCAAGAAGATTTCCATTAGGATTTACTGAAAAGCAATTGTTTAAGGGTGAACAAGAATCATCAAGGGAGAGAATGGAAGTGATTAAGTTCAACTCGCCGGTGTGTCGTGGTCCACTCCAAATTCGCGGTCAAGATCATATTGGCTCAGCAATCACCACAACAAAAGAAAGCTTTGAAATGAGCCCTCAATACATCAACAATACACAAATCTATCACCAGCGAAGCTTCGACAATGAATATGGGTTCTCCGTTCCAAACAAATTGGTAAGAGAGATTGAGGAAGAAGAAATATTTGGTGATGAGAATTTGAATTCAAACATACCAACCTATACGCCGCCGCACCGCGGAAGATCCCCACCAGGATTTCATCGAAAACAATTGTTCAAGGGTGAGTTAGAATCATTAAGGGAGAGGACTGAAGCAGTTAAGATCAATTCGCCAGAACATTATGGTCCAACACAAACTGGTGAAAACTTTGGCAAAGTGCCACCTTTAAATTACAAGTGGGTAAGCAACCCTGCAAACCATGAGGCAGAATCTGAAAGGAGAAGGTGGGGGGCTAGAAGATCTCTCTCTTTTGAGAATCAAGCAGAGGCAAGTCACTTTAAACTGCCTGAAACTAAGGAGTTTGAGGATTCTCTAATGGAACAAGTGGTAAAGGAGAGTAGAATTGATGCAAGAAATACTATGTATAAGTCAGATGAGGTGATAAGGAAGCCTTATAATGGAGATATCCAGTGCATGCAGCAAGCAGTAAAGGAGGCCATGGTGATGGATGGAAGTATAGAGAGAGGAACAATAAAGCCTAAAAGTAGGCTGGTCATTTTTCAGGAAATGACTTTGCCTGAGAACCCAAGGGTCTGATCTTTTTCATGCAACAAGGGGCTTTGCATGCCATGCTCTCTTTCTCTTACCCCCCGCCCCCCCCTATTTAACTAATTGTTTTCGTTGAAATCCCCTTCTCTTTTTCTCTCTATCTACCCCCTATTTAATTAATTTTTTTCTTTGAAATCCCCTTCTCTTATTCTCTCTGTCTATTGTATAAGTCACTCTACAGAGCATTATGTATTGTACAAGTCACTCTACATGAGAACTATCTATTGTTTTATTCACTCTATATGAACATTATCTATTGCTTTTTTCACTCTATATGAGCACTGTTGACATGTGATATTTATAATCGTCTTTTGGGGTTTGCCAACTTATTCAATAGTATAGGCTGGACGGCAAACATAGTGTATTTTTACTTTATTATTATTATTATTATTTGAATTTGATGGACCTCAAATTTTGCAGATAGTATGGGTCTAGGAGAAAATGAAGGGTCAAAATGCGTCAACTATATATACAATCAATGGGGAATACAACCCCTACTTGTTTTTAAAAATAGTTAGTAGTTTTCAAATACGTAAGTGGGAATGGGAACCTAGATCCCTAACTGTTTTTAGAAATGGTTAGTGGTTTTTAAATACACAAGTGGGAATAGAACCTAGACTTGGTAGCTAAAGCTTGAGTGGTGCTACCACCACGACTTCAGCCCCATTCCTTAAAAGTTGGTGGCTTTGATTGCCTACTCATGCAATCTGGGTCATGCAATGTGGGGTTATTTGGCCTATAAAGAAATGTATATAAGACAATTTACTTTTGATGCAAAAAAGTCATGATCATTATGAACCCATACCTGAACTAGTATGTGTGGTTAGAAGCATGTCATTAACTAGACACAAAGCCTAAAAATAAAATATTTTAAAACTATTTAAGCTATTAGGTTTGCATGTCATTAACTAGACACAAAGCCTAAACATAAAATATTTTAAAACTATTTAAGCTATTAGGTTTCACATCCAATATTTAAAAGTTATAATAACCGCCTAGCATAAAAAAATGAAGTCTTATAATATCCAATCCCTGCCTATATATGTAGATTTTGTCGGCCAGCTATCCTGTTTTAAAGCGTAAGCCATTGTAACAAATTTACTAATTTAGTCTTCTATTATTATATACTAGGAAAATACACCGACATATTTTAGCATATTATTCACATTATTGATACGGCGCCAAGGAAAGTACAAGTGTTGTACACTAGTCTTGTGTGATAAAAGATTTCAAATCGCATTCTATACGTACCTAAAAGATAATTGAACAGAGACTGTCCAATTTTAGAAGGTGAGAACCAAGTATTAGGGCCTGTTTGGATCCTTGGATTTTTCAATCCTTGAAAATATCAATACTGGAATTGAGATTTACTAGAATTGATATTTCTTAGAATATGATTTAAATAATCTTGAATTCCAAACGTGGGTCTTTTTTCTTAAAGTAATCATTTGGTGATTCTTAGGTATATCCCAACATTTCAGACCAAATAAAATCCTTTCAAGTAGCTCTATCACCTGAGAAAGCAAAATTATTTGTATGATCCTGTGGGAGCATAGCATATGCGCTAAGAACTAATTTAACACCACTTTAATGGCCTTGTTGAAAAGTTGGACCGACTCTGATGATGGTGCATCAATTATATTCTTAATCAAATATTAATATATAAAACCACAATATTGATATGGCCTACTTTAAAGTGTAGACCTATGTACAATAGCTTTGCAATAGCTTTCCCTCTCTTAGGAAAATTCAAAAAATTGAAATCAAAATGTGGGGATGGATAGAGGAGGGAAGAGAACAGAAATAAAGAAGACAGGGAGAGGGGATGAGATTTAGGCAAAACAATTACAGTGGCGCGGCACAATGTGACGTCTAGAATTCAATTTTCACCATGTCCCATGTTTAACATTCAATAAAGAGAGAGTAGAATTCAATTCACTAAAATTTCTCCACGTCCCATGTTAACATTCAAGAGGAGAGAGAGAGAGAGTAGAGTTCAATTTTCACCACGTCCCATGTTAGCACTCAATAGAAGAGTTTAATTTTCACCACATCCCATATGCACATACAAAATAAGAGAGAGAGAGAGGACGGGGAGGGGCAGGTCTAAAGGAGATTTGGGAAATTAATTGTACCATGTAAGTTTCTCTTTCATTATAAAAAGAAAGACTAGGAAAAGGCAAAATAAAATATCCAATTTAATACAATTAAAAAGTAGGTGTTACAACTGACGTCTTGGGTGCATTTGAATTTTGGAAGATCAGTTCTACTTGGGTCCACATTAAGTAACTAGCCTTCTCTGTCACCTCATCTCAGAAAACAATATTCCTAGTTTTCCACTGAAAATAAGACTCATTCAAGCCAATAGAATAAGATATAAGTAAAGCACAACAATGACAACCCCCTTCGTTCTTGTTGGACCTTTCTTTTGTTTCTCATGCCTTCCCACAAAAAATACTCCATTACACTTTTAAATTCCCCAGCTGGGAATTCAAACCAAGCATAAATAACTCCATGTTTTTAGATCACCAGAAGAGAGAACAAAAAATCTAAAAGAAAAACAGAAAGTAAAGCACACTAACAGGTAATCAGCCAGGACCGCGGAAACAGTTCCCAGGCAAAAGAAACCCGAAGTTCTCAGCATTCTTAATCAAGTACGATGGGAGATGAACCGCCGAAAAGGACCGAGGAATAGAACCCATCTTCTTAATTAGCTCCCTAAACGAGTACTCTTCAGGTAGCATATCAAACAAGTCCTCCCCTTGACAAATGATCCTCTGTATCCTTGATTGGTCGAGAAAACTCGAAAATCTTACCCTATCTGCATGGCTATAGGCCTTCATCTTGAAAGCAAATTCCCCAATATGCCTAAAACAAAAGCTACAATGCCAACCGGCATCTGCAAATAAGGTATCAGATTGCCTACTGTGGCGATACCTAGTCCTAGGCTCAAAAACATGTACTGATGCCCTCCAACTATCCAAGTCAACTGGGAACTCAAAAGAGTAGAGATAGTTTCGAAGCTCTAGATGCATCACTGGTGGGATCCCATCACACCATCTAAGTATATCTATAGTGTGAGGGCTTGGAATTTCATCTGCATCAGACATTATAACAAGATCACCTGATGAAACGCCAGCCCTTCTCAAGAGCCCATTCATGGCAGCCCTTTGGGCTGACTCGAGCACAAATGGGTCCTCTCCTTTACTAAGTTTCCGGCCACTAAAAAGGCCATAAATTAGGTTGGGTTGTACAAAATTAAAACGTTTCCTATTTTCTGCAAAAAACAGGGGCTTAGGGATTCCAGTAAAGGTTGTATTGGACTCTAGGATTATGAACTTGGTGACATAAGGGGAAAGCTCATTCCATCTGATCTCTAGCAAGTCAAGCTCATTGCTAAAAACTATAGCATCAAATACACGTCGAGGAGTTGAGCGGAGGGTCCAGCCATGGAGAAAACAAAGGTGATGCATTGAAACATTTTCGGCATAGTAGTGAGGGATCCGGTTGAAGGGGTCAGGGGGCTTGTCCCAAAAGGGGCGGAGGAAGTAAGATACATGTTGGTAGTGCAAGTAAATCTCGAGGATGCAAATTGGGATGATGATCAACAAAATTAGGGTTAGGGACTTGGGCCATAACCTTCTTGAGAAGGAACGTAGTATGGACATGCTGAGGGGAGTGATATTCACCTTCAGTCATCTGCAAGCATGATAAGTTATGGGGTTAACTAAAAGGGTAAACTCATGGGTGCATTAGCATGCATCTGGTGTATATGTGGTTTCTGAAGATAATGTATGCATCAATGCTCTCTCTCTCTCTCACACATACACACACACACACATGATGATGATGATGATATGGATAACTCACTCATATAAATGGATAAATCTAGGAAATCTAATGCTATATACCAGTAAAATGATCAATATATGACAGTAATTGGAAATTATTCAAATATTTCCAAGTAGTAGCAATGCTAAAAAAGGCGGAGGCAGGCCAAGGGCCTTGACCTGGCCTGGGGTGGGGGGCTTATGTTGTTTGGTGTGTGTGTGTGTGTGTGAGAGAGAGAGAGAGAGAGAGACCACACATCGAACACTTGGAGTCCATCTTCTTTTTCATCTCATATGCAGAGAGTACATGGACCCGAGAGAGAGAGAGAGAGAAGGGCAATACCATGCCTTATATTTTTTTGGGTAGAGTTGAATTTCTTTTTTTTTTAAGGGATGGCGCTAGGTGGGCACCCGGACCGCCTAGGTGTAGCCTAGGCAGTTTGTCGGCCAATATAGGAATTAGATAGCAAGGAATAAATATAAAAATTATTTCAGCATCAAAAGAGAGCAGTGGCAAACTAGATAGCAAGGAATAAATCTAAAAATTATTTCAGCATCGAAGGAGAGTAGTAGCAAACTAGATAGCAAGGAATCAATATAAAAATTCAGTATCAATATAGGAACTAGATATTCTTGACACCACCAACATTAATTATCAATGGAAATATATTCAAAGACCTCATCTCCCTCTGAGTTTTCCTAAAATCATAGCGTCACAACCATCCAGCCCCAGTGCCAGCCTCGAAGCTTTGGCTCTAATCAATCTTCAAGAATTCCCCCCTATATTGAAGCATATTTCAGCATTGAAGGGGAGGCTTCCAGTGCTTAAAAGAATAGCAGAAAGTTACATATTTCTGGTGTTACAATCAACATATTGACACTTTGAAAAATAAATATTGAAATATAAGTATGAAATGGCTTGGAACTATCTAAATAATTTGGCCCAAGTAAAGAATAAAAAAGCAACAACAGGAGGTTGGATGCAAGAAATGTATTGTCTCATCCATGAGAATTAATGTGAATAGACCCCCTAACTAAGACAAGAAAAGAATAAACCAAAGAAGATGTCCCCCAACAATCCTCAATTCTCAATGCATGCCAAAATCAAGGCAGCCACATAAAAGCACCTACCGACTTTCTTCGTCCAATCACTTCTCACTGTTCCTTTAGCACCGAGCTATTGACAAGAATAACCCAATGCGCCTTTGAGCAAGCGCACTTAAATTCATCAGTAAAGTCGACAACTACAACACAATTACCAACTGAACAAATGTCACTCCCTAGATGTGTGTATTCACCACGTTTGTCGTAAGCTTCGGTGTGTAGTGAAAAAAAAAGAGAGTTGCAAGTTTCATCTCTCATGATTATAACTATTGAAATGCTAGTCTCGAATCTAGAATTCTGATTGTTCCATCTGTTGAATAATCGTGTGGATGGACCATGTCGAGAGAACCAGATCAAACATCCATTTTCTAAACCTTATTTATTGCATAAAATGCACCAATAGGACAATATTCTCACATAAGTAGATAACAGAAACCGTCTACGTGCTTTGCATGCCCATCTTAATTCATCATTAAGGCTATATTAGTCTTCTCTGTGGGTACTCTCCCACTTCAACTTCATCCTCATATATGTTATAACAAGAAATAATTCCCAACAAAAAACAACTTGATGCATGTCTCCACCAATAAGAAATCCCAGACAAAGGACAATCACATATTTGGATCATTAACACTTCTATCTAAAATAAGAAACAACAATTCAGGAGTCCAAAGAGAATCTTGAATCTTTAAGAAAACAAAAATTAATCCTAGGCACATAATATGGAAGAACTAAAAAAACAATCGTAAAAACACTTGGCATTCGCAATATGTGTAATAAATAGTGAAAGAGCTGACCAAATTGAATGAAAACTGTTGACACATACATGTGAATGAATCGTGGGCCCCATGTGGTGTTCCTCAAACAATGTGATGAATGAACATCATTGAAGCTAAGTCTGTTACTCTATAAGCAAGCATTGTTCTTGAGTTCTAGTTTATCAAGATACCCAGCAAATTCCATTACAAAAAACTCAGTTTTAATTTATGGTAGTGTACATGCACCAGTCTAACTGCAAGACACTTTAAGTCTTCTCTTTAATTTAAGTGCACTGTATTAAATCAAACTTAAGCCAAACATAAACCCATTTCTCCTTCAAAAGATAGCAATTAGTACTTGTGTCTTGCCCAATTTAAAGATAGTGGATTGGATTCAAACTCTAATTTGCAAATTCATGTTTAATTGGCATGGGAAAATCATGTTCCTACGTTGAGCCCATCTAAAATTTGAGTAATTAAGCTCATTTGCAGTTTTTCTCTCTTTCTACTTACTGAATAATTAAGCTCATGTGAAGATTTTCTCCCTTTATTCATTTAAGCATATTTTATCCCACATTTGTTAAGGCACGCCGCTAGCGCATCCGTTTTCTTGCTTGTCTTCGTGCCGTAGTGTAGTGTGCGTTAGCGCACTACGTTTTCTTCGCTGCTAGCGCGCCCAACAAGAAAACATATGCGCTACCGTGCAACGGCTTTCGCACGAGCGTGCTCTTCCGTTGCTTGGTGTAGTTTTCTTCGCTTCAACAAGGTTTGCTGTCCGAGGGTATCTTTCTTTCTTTTTCTTTTTTTGATAAATGGATCTTATGTTTTAATAGTAAGGTCATTTCAATACCATAGTTTTCATGATTTAAGAACCGTTCTTATTGAGCTTTCAACTGCAAAGTATTCCTGCTCAATTTTATCTGGCCTTAAAACAATTTTTACCGAAAAAAGAATGAAGAAAAAGAATTTTTTGCTGAAATTTTCATTTCGTTTTGTATAAGTTAATTCGAAACTAGAGCTCAAATTCAAACAAGTCCTCTATGAGCAAGAACTTCTGGTCAATTTTTTTGTCAGGTTGTTGTTCTGACTTTGTGCATAAAATTTTCCAACTCTTTTTTTCCAAGGTAATTTCAAATAACCCATAGTAATCATATATAAATGGAAATTATTCCAAAATTAGGCCTTTAAACATTTACATGATATGTAAGTTTTAACTTTCTCTATCTCAAATAACACAGTTAAACCAATTTTTAATGGAAGTTTTTTTTTATCAAATTCCTTCTGAAAAATATTCATTCATTACTCCTCGATAATTTCAATACAAAAAATCATGTATTTCCCCAACAAATAACAGCCATAACCATGACATTTATAGTTCAGAAAAGCTCAAAAGAAAACAGACTTCATTATGAAGACGACAAAAGATATAACCAAAAAGAGAAAAAGAAAAAGTAAAGAAAACAAAAGGCTAAAATGAAGAAACTTAATATATATAACCAAAAAAAAAAAATCAAATACTATTGTACCAACCTTTATTAAATCGCCATTGAAGCTCAAAGTCGAGATCTGGTACCTTCACAAAATTTAGCTCCTTTTCTGAATCGAAGTTTCCCAAAAATTAGGGCTCGTTTATACCACAACAAAAAATGAATGGAAGTCGTCTGTCAAAGAGGCAACAGTCCATATTTGGGGGAAAGGAAATGGTTCATTTATTTTAGTGATTGAAAACAATCCCATTTAATATTGTCTTTATTACACTCACTCTCTTTCTCTCTCTAGCACATTTTCTCTCTCTAGATTTTACCCGCCACTCCTAACGCCGTCGTTACTCTCTCTCCGGAATCCAAAATTTTGCCGGCCGTTGAAGTTTTAACGGGTGCGGTTTGCATAGGGCCTAGGCTCTAAACAATCAAATTAGAGCCTATATTCAAATAGTATACAAAAATGTGTTTTCAATACTGGAAATCTTTTTGATAGCCTTAAAATAAATTTTTATCTTTATTTATAAAGTTTAAAGCTTCAAAAGTAGTGTAGATCGAGAGATTTATGAAAACTTGAAAATCTTTAAAATTGACGGTCCAAAAATGCATTACAAAATATACTATTTCCAAAACTTGAAATCTGCTTTTTTCTCACGTCCATGCATCTTGATGTCGAGATGATCAATTTGAGGATATTGGAACATCAAAACAACCTCTTCTAGTAAAATTTTTGAGGTAGGCTCAAATTTAATTGTTTATAGCCTCGGCTCTATATAAACTTTTCTCATTTTTAACCATGGAAAAATCTTTGCCAATAAGGACACGGTTTCTATGCTTCTAGCCGCATAATTTAGAAATACAGGCTTGACAATAAATATATTTTTTTAAATATAATTTGGTTCTAATTTGTAGAGAATATATAATTTTTTAACATAAAGATCATGAATATGTAATATAT